CCGTCCCGAACAAAAGTGCAGAGCTGGGTTAGAGTATGATCACATCGGAAGCTCCTGCAGTGAAGCAACAGCTTGAGGAGTCATGTGCTGTTTGAGGATGCGCACCAAGGTGCTCTGGTTGATGTCCGGTGCAGAGCTGGGAAAGGATTGGGAAAGTAAATCCTTCCCCACATCGTCTCTGCCTGGTGTGAACTCTGTGGTGAAATTGTTAGGCTGCTGTGTCTTCTTACTGCAGTTCTGGTGACCAGACCCCATCATTATCAACAGGGCTTTGAGAGCCTGGTGGTCCGCCTGAAATGTAAAGTGCCATCTATAGAGGAACATGTTCCAAACACAAGCCAGAGCCTATCTTTTCCCAATGGGGAACTTTTATGCAGCAAATAAGTGACCTTGATGTGAATGCCACTGGGCTCTCTGTCCCAAGTCGGAGTTGGAACAGGACAGTCCCACCTGCAGTGCTCTTCGCAGGTCACAAATATGGAGCTCTGTCAATCTTTAGTAGTGGGCAAGCAACACTGGGATGTGAGCTGTGTCTTTAGCCAGCACGCAACAGCAGAGCACACCCATTTCCAGAACCTGGGGATGTTCTGTTTCAGGAGGGCATGCAGTGGCGTGGTGCTATTGAGAAACATAAGATACGGAGAGTCGTTTAGTGCGACTGAACACTTCTTCGGTGCCAGTCATGATTGCGAGGAGGGGAAAAAGCTGTCGGTCTCGCTCAATCGAGATCTAGTGGCGGCGGGCCAGCATTTTTAAACTATAACAGCGTATCTACCATCTTGGACAGTGGGAGCTTGTCAGGTGAAAAGAGAAGCGTCCTCTGTAGATTGCAATCAGTTGCGTGCTCTCCCAGCTGGTCGCCAAACATCTCATCTTCCAATGGGGCAAATTTGCTGAGGCTAGCCAAGCACCATGGGGTTGCGACATAGTGCTGTCCATACTCACTCCTCTGCTCTCATCAGTGTTGAAATATAATCCGCTGTCCTTTGTTTAGCAGGGAAAATGTTGGCGAAATATCCGGCCAACAACAAGGCAGACTCTTCAAACTTCTGTGTAGGTCTGAAAGTACAGAAAATACGCTGGGCCTGGATGAGCATGGCTGATCGCCTCGCCGTGCTAACTTCGGCTAGTCCGATCATTGCTCTGAATGTTTTAGAAGAGTTATACCAGCAGGACCGGAGGACTGGTGGCTCATCGAGCAATGCGAGGAAAGATGTGAATGTTGTTATGTCTTATGCACACACAACGAATATGTGTTAACAAGAACTGTTTACATTTTCAACCCACTCACATCACGACACTTGTAGCCCAACGATGCTACAACCTCAGTGTGCTGTTTAACAGCGTCCTGGATTAAATGTGTTTTACCCATAATTGTGAATGACACATATTTAAAATGCTCCTTATGTAAGGTTAAATGATGACGGACGCCTTTCCAGGCTCTGACATGTGTCTTTCTAAATATTCTTGGGTTTCTTACTGTGCTTTTTAAGCCCTAGAAACCTAATCTACATCGTTAATGGACTTTTTGTAGAAGTTAATTAACCATTTTCAATGGTAGCAGTGGAGTGATCCCAGAGGAGAGCCAGGTTGGTTGGGGGGTGGGGGGGCTGGGTCGAAGGGACGAGTGAAGAGATGGAGATTGGTTTAAACTGTTGCCTAGCAACCCATGTACAACATTTGAAGCGACTTAGTGCCCCCATAGTGTTTATCATTGAGGTCAAATTATACTTTTTTATTTGTTGTGGCATCGGGCTTATTAATGAGCAGGTGAATGCTCCTCAACACGTGTTCATGCCAAGCCTTTTCAAATATGATGCTCCTTATGTCTTTGGATTTGTGCAAAATGCGATTCTTTGGACTCACCAGCAAACGTTAAATCCCAGCAGAGGAAGACGCTTGGCTTTTTCAACAGCAGGATTTATGTCCTTTGCATATGAGAATAGGATGTAACATCAGAGTTGATAAAACAACCACGAGTGCAAAGAAGCAAACAGAGCATGCTCCACTAATTTGGCAGGTGAATCACTCAAGATTTCTAAAATATCAGAGGACAGCTGACCTCGTTGAATCCTACCATACTTTGCCACATTTGCAAACTGTGTCTGGCAAAAGCTGTTTATTATCAAAAAACTTGCACGCTTGCAAATTGTGGAGCGCGTGTGTATATGAGAGAGAACGCGAGACCAGGCTTACAAAGAAAAAGGCGAGACGGAGCTGCTGGGACACTCACTTCATAGCAATTTAGGTCATGCTAAACAAACGCTCCGCCAAAGGAGAGCGGGCACGTAAGAGCATGCTATACAATGTGCACATCACACTGTGAGCCACATCCAATCATGGACGCCGTACGCACGCCACAACGACGCCTCTCAGCATATGCAAGTGTGAGCTATGCATCATTTCCCCGATGAAAAATGGGTGTTGTGAAGACGCAAGTGGGCCACTTCAGTGTTATTATACGCTCGTGCACAGTTGCAAAGGCGGTTTGAGGCTGATGGCAACAAGGACGGCATCATTCTGTGTGGGATCACTTCATTAGACATATTTTTAGTCTCAATACCTTTCTTAACGCTGTTGAGCAGATCGAGGTGACTGTCGAGAGTCGAAGAGAACAGTAATGTTCCACATTTACTTGTTCCCATGTCGATAACAGAAATAACGGAAAATTAAGAGACGTGCGCACATTTTTAGCAGGACGAAAACAATCTCTTGACAATATGAATAAAATATGTGAATAAGCTTTTGATTAGCATACCAATGGCACATCATGATGCTAATTAGCTCATCTGTGGCCTCCGATTGCTGCACAGGCTCCTCATGCATGCTTGAATCAAATGAATGAAGATGAATTCAAGAAAAATGTTATTACGCTTCCATAGCATTACTTGGAATGTGATAAGAATAACAACTGAACTGATTGAATTGAATGTTCAATTTCCCATTATTTAAATGTACACCAATGTTGATGACATGCTGTCCCTTTTACTTCTCTTTTGTAGTTTGTTGTTGTTGTTTTTTTTTTTTTTTTGGTGGGGGGGGTCATATTCATTGTCAATTTGGCTATCCTAATTCAATTTTTTTTTCCAGGGTCCGGTCGACATATGCACTGGGGCTGTTTCATGTGTTGTATTTCTTTCTGGGGAAATGTGTGGCATTTACAACATACACGATCTTACACTGACCGGCCTCAAAATTGTATACTCAAAAGCCGCATAAATGGAAATGCATAACAAATGCTGATTTAACAAAGACAATAGCATTTTATTAACACTACCTGCAAGATAGTCACCTAGTAGTGAGTTATTATTTGGCTTGTCATGTAGAATTGCACTGGAGCGGAGTGATAGTTATCTAACCGAGCGCCACGAAAGAGGAAAATCTCATTTGAAACGTATCGTGCGCTACAGTTGTTCACCTCTACAAACTACCACCAGCATACAGAGCATGTAAACTCAATGCCTCTGAATATGTCTATTAAAATGTGAGCAATATTATTGTAAAAACCAATGTTTTCTTACAGCTCTTCTATTGGATCTGACATGAAGTTACAAAGCTTCTTAGGTACCACCTGAAAAGTTGCAGTGAGGGTACATCCATCAGTCTCCTGCATTTTCTGTACTGCTTGCTGCTCACAAAGGTCATGGTTGAGCTGGGAGATTTGGCCGGTGCACCGTGGATAAGTCACCAGCCCACCACTGGAAAAAAAAAAATCAGTTATTTTGATTGATATTGGAATTACAATGAATAAAACAATCATTCATTGAGTTTTAAAACTTAGTATTTATTCAACTACTAAAACTGAACAACTGAAATTGTAGCCTCATGCCGATTAATCCCATTGAAGACTTTATTTTTGTACTTCTGTGAAGTACAAAATGACCTTTTAAATATATGTGAAATTCAAGCAAGCCTCTTGCATTTTCATTCTGCTCCATACATAGTCGAGTGTGTAAATTGCAACACTGGAAAGCCCCGCAGCACATGAAAGTGATTTTACAGCCAGTGGCCCAGGAAAGAGGCGACACAAGTGTGCTCCCAAAAAGCCAAAACATAACAGAACAAGTCATCGGGGCCTAATGAGGCTGAAATCCAGCGTACCCATGGAAAGCCAAATGAACATTTCCAGCTTGGTAGAGAGCAGGAGCGGATGGTGGAAAAGGGAAACAAATAGGCTGCAGGGTGAGGAGGTCACATGTCACCAGCCTATTGGACATGACCATGCGCATCATCAGCAGGTGTAAACATGTCTCATGTTTCACACCACAGGGCGGCGGGGCCGCCGGCCACCCCAGATGGGGTTTTAAATGCTGCGTTTCATGTGCTATCATTTAGTAGGTTCGTTCACCCCTCATTGCTTTCACCATCTGGTGCTCCCCTCAGCTTGTGATGCAGGAAACACTCTTCATCTTACTGCCAAGACCTTTGCAACTCAGTCAAACTCAAATCGGGTATTTTTTTTAAAGGATGGGGCTTTTTTGGGGGGCATGAAATTGGTGAAGACGTGCATGCAGGCAACAAGTGTGAAGGAAACAAAACTACAAAGATGGAGGCAAATTACAAAATGCAGTAAACGAGGGATACGCATGCACAACGCAGCCCTGCAGATGACACTTTCTGATTATTTAAGTCACGTTTTAAATGCTGTGCATGATCCACTTTTGGGGTGGAAAAACCAAATGTTACAAGATTTTAGACATGTCCTTCCAAGACTTCATTCCTCATCATCACCTCATTTTGGGAGGGCATTGTTGTGTGCCCTCCTTTTATTGACTGGCTGCCTTCATCTCAATTTGCAGACAGCCGCCGACTGGCCACCCAGTCCAAATATCGAGGTTTGCATTGCCCCCATGAGTCTCCTTTTTTTTTTTTTAATCTGTAAAATTCAGCTTGCTGCTGGAAGGGGAGCTGCATGCATATTTTGTGACACATGCACGGGCGCAGGAGCCATTCATTGTAAAATGAGTATCAGGGGAAATAAAGCAAACACTTTTACAATGAGGAAGGGAGCCTTGTAATATGGACGTCTTCATATTTATTGACCATGTTGTCAAGAAAAATGCTCAAAAGAACGTTAAATGTTGTGATTGGATTGAGGAGCACAACAATATGAAAAATACAAAGGGTGCAAGTTTGACGTCAGTGCAGCCTATAGATGAAGATTAGGAGGAAGGGGGGGTCGACTTTGAGATGACATTGAGGGTGTGTGATGGGAGTTGATTCTCTGCTTGTTGATGTTAGACAGTCGTGTAAGAAGGCAAAGCGGCTGCTGCCCGTGTTGATTCCGCCAGCTCTTCTTTTTATTCTGCATTCTCTTCTTTTCCGTCCTCCTCTTGGTCTTTTCAGCACCGCTCCCCGGCTGGACAGCTCTTGCGCTTTGGACCCCTTGGACGCTGCATGGTCCCTTTAAGGCTTTTAATGGAAGTAAAACCGATTGATGTTCCAAGACATATTGGGAGTTTACAACTTCATCCACAGGAGGAGGTATCCACGCAGATTCGGAGCAGGCTGCGCATCCTCCACATTCACGCCACGTCCACTGTGAGTATATGCACGCCAGGTGCTGGTGCGTGCGCGCGTATGTGTGTTGGCTCGTGCTCGCGCGCGTGTTTGCAAACAACAAATGTCTCAATGCATGATTCTTATTGTTTTGATTTTGCGGCAGGCGGCGAATGCACAAGAAATGCGTTTATTAGTGTGTGCCTGTGTGTGCGCGGGCGTGTTTGTGCGCGCGTGCGTGTGAGTGCTGTGCGCCTTCACGCTAAATTCACCCCCCCCCCCCAAAAAAAAAGAATAAAGAAGAACAAATGAGCAGAAATGTCACGTCCTTTTAAGTGCAAATGTGCGGAGATAATCTTGTCCAATGTGCGATCATATGAATGCGCGTGTTTTGCTACTAAGACGAGGTGGACGGCTTGGACATTTGCGTAAGGCTTTTACGCATTGGACATCCCTTTGTCTCCACGGTGTGTTGTGTCTCACAGCTGGTGCGAGACCTCTCTGCGTGCACACTTTTGCAAGAAGCGTCAGGAGAATCTGCAGGTGGTAATAGGAGGTCACCTCTTGCTTTATGATTCCCATAGGCTCAAAGGCGATTTGCTGCCGCACGTCTTGACCTTGCAGTGATTCGTCCAAGTTTTTTTTCCACCTCATTTTTGTTTCATGTAGGTGGTTTTTTTATGGGTTTATTCGTTTGGCGAATTAAATGCCCGACTTTGTTTGTCTTGTGAAAACAATTTGGTTTTCACTGCCGATCATTTACGCGCAATCTGCGTTGAGTCCGAGGTGACTTTTTTTAAGTGTTCGATTCTGATCGAAATAAATCTATTTTCTTGCCAAAGATCCTAATTCATACCTGGATATTTCATGTACGTTTAAAACGCTCGTATCAAGACAAAACAGATCTACTCGGTTTTAATGAGGTTTTTTGCGCCAAACGCGGAGTAAATGAACGCGGTGCAAAATGTGCACACGGCGTATTGCCTCATGATGAGCCGATTCGGGCCGCCTGAAAAATGGGACCAACTGCTCTATTTCCCATACCTGCAGGTTCACGGCGACTGACGATTCCGTGTGTACGCGGGCTTCTTTTCCCCTGCACGCTCGCTCCAAAGGTTTGGTGCGAAAACCGCGAAGCTGTTGTCTACGTGGACCGGTGCTGAAGCCTCCCGTCCGACTGCCAGGGCCTGTGCCAAAGCCAGAGACATGGCGACCAACGGCACCAAAACGGATGGCCAAGTGACGGAACTGAACGAGGTGGCCGCCAATAATGACAAGCCCAAGTCGCTGGACGTCAAGCCCGAAAATAAGAAAAAGGAGTTGCCAGACAGAGAAACGTGGGGAGGGAAATTTGATTTTCTCCTGTCGTGTGTGGGTTATGCAATCGGACTGGGCAACGTGTGGAGGTTTCCATATCTTTGTGGCAAAAACGGCGGAGGTAAACAACCTTTTTCTTTCGCTCCAAACTTCCGCCTCTTGATTTCACTCCCACTGACATGAAGATGTGATGTTGTGCTGATGTCTGACTTGATCCACTTTTCCATCTCCATCTAGGGGCCTTCTTGATTCCCTATTTTTTGACTCTCATATTTGCTGGGATGCCCTTGTTCCTTCTGGAATGCTCCTTGGGTCAATACACTTCAATCGGAGGGCTCGGTGTGTGGAAACTGGCTCCGATGTTTAAAGGTAGAGCTCCTTTCCCGATACATATGCAAAGATATAAGATATTTATGGTCCAATTGATCTAAATAAGAAATCAACTCACACTGATAGTTGAAATGGCATATTCGTGTGTTTTTGTGTGTGTGTGTGTGTGTGTGTGTGTGTGTGTGTGTGCGTGTGTGTGCGCGTGCGTGCGTGCGTGCGTGCGTGCGTGCGTGTGTGTGTGTGTGTGTGTGTGTGTGTGTGTGTGTGTGTGTGTGTGTGTGTGTGTGTGTGTGTGTAAAACAGGTGTGGGCCTTGCAGCTGCTGTCCTTTCCTTCTGGCTTAACATATACTACATTGTAATCATTTCCTGGGCTATTTATTACCTGTACAACTCATTTACCGCTGTAAGTACACAAAATAAAGACAAAGGATAGCAACCGTTCGTTAAAGGATCACATTTTTGAATCACAAGCACAATTGTGTGTGTGTGTGTGTGTGTGTGTGTGTGTGTGTGTGTGTGTGTGTGTGTGTGTGTGTGTGTGTGTGTGTGTGTGTTTTATTCCAGGAACTACCATGGAGCTCATGCAACAATCTATGGAACACAGAGAAGTGCTATACAAATTACTCCATTGCAGACACCACCAATCTCACCAGTGCAGTGGTGGAATTTTGGGAGTAAGATACCATCCTTGTGTTGCCCTCGATGAATCCCTTCGATCAGGTCTGGTAATCGAGAGCCCCTATGCTCCCAGTTTGAGATGGCCTGATGAGCTCATCATCCGCTGTGTTGGAAGAGGGCGTCAGCTAAAACAGGCTGGATAGTGGCTCTCGATGACCGGATTTGGGCACCCCTGATTTTAAAAAAACCAAAGGCCATCTAACAGTCATAGTGTCACTTGCTTTGATTTATAGGCGCAATGTGCATGAAATGACCGATGGCTTGGAAAAACCGGGCCAGATTCGGGTGCCACTCGCAATCACACTGGCCATCGCATGGGTCCTCGTCTACTTCTGCATCTGGAAAGGGGTCAGCTGGACAGGGAAGGTAAGATATTTGCATATCAAGAGCTTTCGCATGAGTTCCAATTAGGAGATATGTGGGACCGGAATGCATTATTCATCAGTCTAATATAGCCTCATGCAGGATTTACAATTCAGTCGGCATTGTCAATGTGGATTTCAACATCAGCGACAGCAAATAGTGGCGCTCTGAGTCTAAGTGTGCCTTACAGTGGCTCCTGTCATTCGAAAGCCTCCTGACACTATTAGCAGTGCGTGTGGATCCATGATAGGCGGAGCAACAAACAGCCATTGGCCGCAATCTGGGTTTGTCGTGCCCTTTCTCTCAAAGCGCTTCGGCTTCCCTCGCGGGCATGCGTAGCCATTGTCACGTGGCCATGGCAAATAAAATTAGACTTGGTCACAAAACATCATATTTCCTCTGCACATTTGGCAAATAAATAGCTCGCACGCTGTCATGAGTGCACATGGAGAAGAGGAGATGTGCTCAGTGAGGCTTCAGCAGCTTTGCCGGCCGGCTGGCCGTTTGGTCTTCAAGAGACACTAAGAGCAGGAGTGTACATTTACAGCACATAATTAACCGGGGGAAGAATTAACGGATTTAGGGTTACTTTCCAAGGGATGGCAGAAACTCTCTCTGGCATGAAAGTGGGCATTTCGTGTAGAGTCAAGACCACTGTTGCCCGGAGACATTGCTGCCTTTGTAGCTCAGTTTCTTGACGCTTTTGTCAGGGGTGTCATGTGAGGTGTGAAAAAGAGGGGATTTGTCCACCCACACCTACCCCCGACAATCCCCACACACACGAACATTTAGCAAAAATTCTAATAGTATTTAAAATGTAACATGTTTTTCCAAGCCGTCCTTGAATGCATAATGAGCAGTCATTGCACAAACGATCAATCGCACACGGAGCAGATCAGATGGATGACTACTGAAAAAATGTTGAGCAAGGAAAAAAAGTGTTATCTGTGAGGCTGCTTCCGCTCGCCATTTTTGCTTATGGGAAAACTGTCGTGTAAGAGCCCTAACGCCAATACTAAAAGCGAACAATTGCGAGTGTTTTCGAAGTTGTGCGAATGTTGGATTCTCATCGCCTGTACTTTTCTTGGAGCAACAAGAAAAAAAAGTAAAACTGTTGGCGAACATCTGGTGACCGTTTGGCGAACATTTGCGACCTTGAATGAACCATGACAAGAGTATTGTTTGCAGTTCAGTTGGAGAGGGGGTTAAAGGAGTATTGCTACTTATAGTATGTTAGCTTACTTGCTAGCGGCAGTACTTTATGGTCGACGAGTGCATCTGAATTATTTTCGGTTACACCTCCCCTAGGAAAAAGAAAACATTTTGGGCCCCTTAACTCTCCACCGTGACTATCAATAGTAATTTGTCTATAAAATGGTCATGAGCAGACCTCTGCATAACATTGTATCCTTTGTTATTATTGGTGTTATTTGGTTATATTATTAGATTTATTAATATTAAATAAAACAAAAATCAAATAACAATCAGGTTATGACAAAGAATAAATTTAATGTTTTCAATTTGTCACAGAAAATATTTGAAATGCACCAATTTCAACCCCCCCATCATAAAAAAAACAAAACAAAAATGAGAGTGCCAATGCCACCTACTCAAGTGGCTGTTCAATGACAACAAAAAAAGCATTTTGCCCAGGTCGCGCGTGCCCCCCGCCCAAACACCCCAGGGGGGCCTGCACTACTATTTGAGAAGGACTGTGCTTGACCGAACCCCAATTCTGCTCAAAATATGTGTGCTGCACATTTTTTTTCAAATTGTAATTCTACAATACTGAAACTCACTGGTGCTTTGCGCATATTTCCTATGTAGCAATCACAAAGGTGCACGTGATTGCAATTTATAAAATCCATCTTTTGGCATATGTGTAGTGAGTAAATAGGCTGATTTAATGTTCACATTTTTTTTGCTCATACTGTATTTCAATCTGTTTCATATTATTTATGTGGATTGATGAAAGAGTGTGTTTACAAATGAAATGGACCTATCATGAGTGCATTTTTTAAATCGCCATGTTCATGTACATTTATTCTGGTCATGAAAAATATACATTCGGTGGGCTTTGGCACTTTCAAATTTTAAAATGCAATCGAGCGCCCTTCCAAGTTTTTGGAAATAACTGGGGTAGGGTTTGAATTAAACCGTACCAGAAAACAGGCAACATTTTTGCTAGTTTTCCTTAGTCTTGAGGGTCACGAATGTCTTGTTTTGCTTAAAACACAGAATATAATAGCGATGTAAACCTATGGGCACAACTGTACGCCTGCTTTCATGCCGGGCAAAGGAAATTCAGCCACTATTCATTTTTGCGAGACTGAAAATGAGGATTTGGACGGTCATTTTGTGTCCAATAAGCTTGCTGACAAGAATGTTGTTTGCTGAATTTTTCTGTTCATTGTCGCCAGCTTGGTGATTTAGTTCTTTGGCCACCAAGTAGACTAGCAGTTAAATGAAAGAGGCTGTTACATCGTTGGCTTATTACTGAACCGTGTGCCAGAAACCCTCACTTTTAAAATGATGAGTAAGGCACGCCACCTCTGCCTCCCCACTTCCCAAATGCAGGCGACACCAACTTCGTCTGTGTCAGTGGTGTTCTTCTATGGGCCAAAACCAAGTGAAACTGAATCAACAGATGTTCTGCCAGGTGTCAAACATTAGTCATAATCAGTTTCTCTCAATTTACAGAATTTTTAACAATCAATTCATTCCTACTGTCCATCCCAAATTTTGAGCCGCCATATAAATGATGCTATCTGGATGGGGCCAGTTTGCAAGGTATCCACTGGGGAGGCCTCGCTGATTGGTGCTTCCCACTTAACAGGTGGTTTACTTCTCGGCGACGTATCCCTACTTTATGCTCTTCATCCTCTTCATCCGTGGAGTGACTCTGCCTGGGGCAAGAGAGGGAATTCTGTTCTACATCACCCCAGATTTCGAAAAGCTCAAAGCATCGGAGGTAACGACAAGCTCGTCCAAAAAAAGATCCCCACCCGCATGCGTGAGTAGACAAAGCACTGACCGCTGCATCTCAACATTTTTGCTCCTCCCGTCAGGTATGGCTGGACGCCGCAACCCAAATCTTTTTTTCTTACGGATTGGGACTGGGCTCACTGATAGCTCTTGGAAGCTACAACCCATTCAATAATAATGTTTACAGGTGAGACAGTGGCAAATGTCAAGAACAAGTGTGGGATGACGTTGGCGTGTAGGAACAATACCAGTTGTTCTTAGTCTGCGCACTGAGAGAAAATAAAACAAGGCTGCCACTTGTTTTGTTTTGTTTTGTTTTTTTTTGTTCCCCAAGCAGCATAGCAGCAACAGTTTTGATGATTTCAAAGTTACCGGCCCTCCACTCTACGTAATATGCTATGTCCACATGCAAAACGTGAATTTTCCCCACTTGCTTTCCCTAGAGACTCTATCATTGTGTGCTGCATCAACTCATGCACCAGCATGTTTGCTGGCTTTGTCATCTTCTCCATCGTTGGCTTCATGGCACACGTGACCAAGAAGGACATCGCAGACGTAGCGGCTTCAGGTAACCGCCACTCTTCTGTCCGCGCGTGAGAAAACTCCACCACCAACGGTGCTTTCCTATTTAAAAGTTTTCATCGTCACTTTCTGCATGAGATTGGACGGGAGGTGATTTTTGCTATTTGCACTCCAGGTCCCGGCTTAGCTTTTCTGGCCTACCCAGAGGCCGTAACCCAATTGCCTGTGTCTCCACTGTGGGCTATTCTGTTCTTCTCCATGCTGCTCATGCTGGGGATAGACAGCCAGGTAAGTGGGCTCACTCCCGATCTGCTCCTGGGCTGACCTAAATAGCCAAATGCAGTTGCATACCACACGGCAGCAGCCGCTTGCTGCATGATAAGAATGCAATTTGCTTCATGTGCGCGGTGAGAACCCAGTTTCGACTCGAGCTGTCAAGGTTTTTCAATGCAACTTTATCACCTCTGTGTGCCTGCGGGGTTCACCGCCTGCAATTTCTCGACTTTGTTTTTGCTTCACATTTTGTGATGTCACAGTTCAAATGCGGGCAAAATAAAGCGCTGAGGCAGCCGCACGTTGGCCGATGACCATCGGTGTTATAGAATCGTTGATTATGCAAATCTCTAAATTTTTCCAAATATGGACCCCAAGAAGTGGATCATTCAGAAGATGACGGCATTTTTGGACACTTTTATGTTCTCTGAACTTGTCATCGTGATTTGTCATCCTCCTTTAGCCAGAACACCACATAAGTCCGTTTTAGAAAACATAATTGTGAACATGCATGCTGCAATTTAAATACGAGCCCTGGAATGGTAGCTAATAAATAGAGAGAGCCAAAAAACACAATTAGCAATAAAGCGCAAACACACAGCAAGATTTAACGGTGGTACGTAATGGCCTTTCATATTTATCTCTGTGCCTGCTGCTCTCGTCCTTCAGTTCTGCACTGTGGAGGGCTTCATTACTGCTTTAGTAGATGAATTTCCCAGAGCGCTCCGAGGCAGACGAGAGATCTTCATCGCTGTCGTCTGCCTGGTGTCTTATGTGATCGGCCTTTCAAACATCACGCAGGTACAGAAGGCAGCTTTTCCCCCAAACTGTTATTGCGTGATATCATACTGACATGGCCCAAATCCATTTTTCTGCCACCAGGGAGGGATTTACGTGTTCAAACTGTTTGACTACTATTCCGCCAGCGGAATGTGTCTGCTCTTCTTGGTCTTCTTTGAATGCATCTCCATATCCTGGTGCTACGGTGTGTATCACTCTCGTGTCACTAAAACCAGGGCATTGCTCGCTCATTCATTCGGCAACATGCTAAGCTGGAGGACACTTGAAAAGGGGAGAGAACTCGGCGAGTCAGAAGCGCTGCTGTTCACCGTCAAGGTCGCGAGCGCTCATTCGTCTCCTCGCCGCCCTCATCATCATGCACGGCAAACCTGCAGCAAATTGGAGTGGATTTTTCACCCTCCCTTTATTTGTCTGGCAGGTGTGAACAAGTTCTATGAGAACATCGAGGAGATGATCGGCTACAAGCCTTGCGTGTGGTGGAAGATGTGCTGGGTGGTGTTCACCCCTCTCATTGTCGCTGTGCGTGAGATCAGCACACTTGATGTGAAAAATGAAACGTGAAAAATCAATATTAGCCACCCGCCGCCACGAGCCATCGGTGTCATGATGCATAAAGTGACTCCTGTCTCCCACAGGGGGTGTTCTTGTTCAGCGCCGTACAAATGGTTCCTCTCACTATGGGAGAGTACGTGTTCCCAGGCTGGGGTCAGGGAGTGGGCTGGCTCATGGCACTGTCTTCAATGGTCCTCATACCGGGCTACATGATTTATATGTACCTTGGCCTCAAGGGCACCTACAAAGAGGTATGAGCATTTGGGAATTTGCTGGGCTAAAGTTTGCACAACTGTTGGTAACTCCTGCGCATTTCTCTGCCAGCGACTTCGGATCATGCTTCAGCCTCCAGCAGTTGTCAGGCGACCGCAGGAAAACGGACCTGAGCAGCAGTTGGAAACAAACACCGCCAACATACCCAGCCCCACTAATCCAGCTAACCCCTCCAGCCCGACCAATCCAGTCCCCGCCAACCCGGCTCCCGTCAACGCAACCAGCCCCGAAGCGCCTGCGAACCCGGCTCCACCGCCGGCTAACCCTCCGGCTGCCGCCGCTAGCCCTGCGAGCCCAGCAACGAGTCCCACCATCGTGACCACCATCACCACAACCGCCACGGCCATGGCCACGGCCACGGCCAGTCCGGCCAACCCTCCGACAACAACAGTCAGTCCAACGATCCCTCCCCCGAACCCAGCGAATCCAACGGAGCCCGTGAACCCGCGGAACCCAGCAAGCGTGACCTCTAACCTGACCACTGCCGAGGCCAACGTGTAGACAACAAAGAAACCCTCTTGGAGCATGTAGACAAAAGAGAACATTATAAAGGACTTATTTCCAAGATTTTAATTGATTCACCTACCTCCGAGGGCAATACCTGATCGAAATACAATAGATTTTCCAACCATATTACATTTTCTTACATGTTCAAGCCAACGATGTCCTGTTGTTGATTTGCATTCCGAATATATCAAAGACTGTTAGTGTGCACCGGTACAACCATAAATCTGACTATTAAAAAAAAAAAAAAAAAAAAAAAAAAATCAAATTAAATAAACATACTGTGTAATACTGTGAGAAAAAATACAAATAAATAGAGATCTAGATTAGGAATATGTTAAATATCTTCATGAATTGAGTAAATACCTGTGTGAATATAGTAGATGAAGTAGTGAACAAAATTGACATCGCTGACAACAGCAAGGGCTGTGTCAATTTTATCGTGGATGTTTACTAAATCTCACACGGTTATCTCTTTTTCAAAACGTTGCACTCTCCACGGCAAACTGAAGGCCAGAGCGAAGTTGAGGAGCTCGTGAGAAAGCACAATGCCAATAAGAAGTTCATGTTTAGAAGTCAGCTGGAGCAATCCAGTCATGTTTTGTGTGAGAGAGACTGTTATTTTTCCCCTTCCTTTTTTCAGTAAAAAAAACCAAAAAAAACTTTTGTGTGATGGAAACATTTTTAGAATTATTTTTAGGAGGTTTTATACTCTATGTTGTTGATGTGACGGAGGACCAAATCAATAGGCAGACATGCAAAAACTATGCCATTTGAGCATCTGGTTGGCAGAAGCACAGGGTATGAAGAGGTACAAAAAAAAATAAGTAAAAAAAATGTAAAAAAAAAAGCACAGGGCTAGAGAAAGTGATTTACAAATGCAGACTATCCCTTAATCCTGACAGTCAGTGCTGTTTACGATTTGCATGCTTTCCTCAGGAACATCAGTGAAAATTGTCTGAAATTCCTGACCAAAAACAGATGGCCTTAAGCCAAAACATCAATTTTAAGCAAGTCATGGACTGTTTCCATGAGTTGGCGCAAGAATAACGACAACAACAACAACAACAAAAAAGGACCACATCATATGCTAGCACAAGAACCTGGACCAACTCTGTGTTTGAGTCATGACTTTTCAGTACGTGTGTCAATCAATTATAGTTTGATAAATATATGTATTCAGCAATACATATGTAGATGTTTAAGCGCAGGCCAGTAAGCAAGCGGTCTGTTTCTCTTCTTGTTTCCGCTGTCTCTTTGCTTCATTTGTGAAAAGCACAAAGCTTTAATTTGCCCAGACGTTTACCATAGCGTGCTTAGCACAGTGCTAGTTAGCTTCTGCGGCAGCTACTGCGAGAAAAGTGTGGAGGTGTGAAAGTTACAGGTTGACCGTGAAAAGCTAAACAACAAAGTGGAAATGTGAAATGGCTACAGTTCATGTCCTGTGAAATTTCATTTATTTGTATAAAGTTACTCTACCACAGTTTTCTCTGGAACTTTGTCGTAAATCCGTACCGTGTAAACATGTAACTGTGAATGTCTGTAATACATTGGAAGTTAATGTCTAAATGTTGAAAAAAAAAATTGCTGTTTTCTGCAATAATATTTTGGTCACAGAAGCTAAAGCACATATCTGACAGAAATATACGGAAGGACGAAATGACAATGAAGATGCCAATGATTATCTTAAAAACAGAAACTATGTCTCGTAAAACACTATTGTTTTGTATATTTTTAACTGTCTCACTGCCTAATGTAAATCATTATATAGACATGATATGTATTTAAATGGTGTCAAATGATAAAGCACGATTGTTTATGTTCTACAAAAAGAAAAAGAATGAAAAAAATAAAGAGTTATAGAAAATATGAAGACAATGTGTGCTACGTAGCAGTCCCATGGTTTATGAACACTGTTGTCAGGAAGTCAGACGAACTGCTGAATCCTGAAATAATTGGCCATTGTTCCATTGCGTGATGTTTAAAATATTTCTACTCAACATTTGAGGAAATGTGGGGAAAAATAAAAGCACAATATGCCGCTAAATGGAAATGAAATCCCTTGTGTATGGGTCTTTTTTTTTTTTTTTGTAGAAACAAGGACATTTTGTTTGAAAATGGGATCAAGCTTAACTTGAACTATGGGGGTAAATGAGGTAATGGGCAAAGAATAAATAAAGTAATAAATAAATAAATAACTATCAAAAGGAGAAATATGTATGCCGCAGTCAAGCAGAGAGTCCCAGGCCAACAAGAAAAACATCACTTGCCCCCCGGCCCTGGTTGAGCTCGCAGCCACCCACCACCCCCCGCCCACCGTGTGAGCTAATGTGCACGTGTGTATGTACGTGCACGCGTTTAAGTCTTCTCCCCCACTTCTTGCAGTCGCAGTCGCTGTTCCCATTAGTTTCCAGTGCGATAAAAGAGATGCTACCAGCTGACACCACCACAATGACTCGCCATGGATCAAAGAATGAGACGTCCCCTCAGTTGCTTGTGGCAAATCGTGTGTGTATACGTCTGTGAGCTGAGAGGATGGAAAGAAAGCTGACTTTGAGTTGACCTGGGTTCGAATAAAGCCCCTAATGGCAGCTAATCCAGACCATCAGATGATGTATGATTTATTTGCTGCCTTTCTTCCCGGTGTTGTTATTATTTAGGATCATCACCCATGCAGCTATCTCCAATCAGACAGTCCAGAACCGATGTGTCAAGTCGACCACATTTATAGCTCATCTTCTTTGACAAGGTCAGAATTAGCTGGGAGCTGGTTGGGACAAACAAATGGATTTACATTTCTGACTACTGTTATTTACAACACAGTCAGTGAGGTCTCTTAAATCGAATGAACCTGAGGTTTTACATATCGGAATGCCACCTAAACTTTCACACGAGAATCCAGTAAATATTGAAATAATTCCAATTTAAAGGAATACAGTAACTCCACAAGTATGTTTAGATTTTTGTTGCATTTTTTGAACCCACCTTGAGGGTCCAGGAAAGGTGGAAGATGAAAAGTGTGATGATGACCATGAATGGAACTGTTAAGGAATTATTCCTCTCTGTTAGTTGGATTTGGAAGAAACACTGTAGTATGCTGTTGAAGGTATTTACAATCACCTTTAGTGCCCCCTCACCACCAGCACTTTTAGGACCTCTCCAGAGGACATGTTTATCTCAAGTAGCTGTGTTGCTGATGTTGAGGTATTTCGCCTTACTATGACTATTATTCTCAACTCAACTCAACTCAACTGTATTTATAGAATACTTTCAAACAGCCATCGCTGCATACAAAGTGCTGTACATGGAGCAATTAACATATA